GTCCAGGCCTCCTGTCATGGTATTAACCCTGGCAGCCTCACAATAACAATGCATGTACGTACAAATCTATCTCCAGAATTTGAGGTTGTCAAGAGAATTCTCAGAATTTTGTTGCTTCACCAGTAAATCTCACAACAAGTGGGGGAAAGATTAAGGAATTGAAAATCCTTTTGCCTCTCTGAGCCTGGACAAGCCCTTCTTATTCCACAAATGTTTTTCTCTATTGTTTTTATTTTTATTGTTTATAAGTCAATGGCGTTGGGATTTGTCCCTTTTCTTATTCATACTTTAAACAAAACAAAAAAAAGAAAAATTTATTTGAGTCTAATTTGAGGATTATAACCTGGGAAGACCATCTCAGAAAGCTGTGAGAACTGTTTTGCCCCTAGAAGTCAAGGTAGAGTTGTACAAGCTTTTTGAGACTGAAAGCTGCTCATCAAATGCTGCATTATTGACAGCTTACATAATCCACATCTAAGCATCATTTTGGTGGGTCATGTGGCCCCTTACAAGATCAAGAACGAATGTTATCTTTTAAGCAGTTGTCTTGTTGGTGCTGGGAGAACATTGCTTTTTATGGTTGAGCAGGTGTTTCTGCTGATGGAGGAAGTTTGCTCGATGCTAATGCAGATACACGGTGCACAAGCAGAAAAGAGAGGAGGCCAAAGGGGAGAGAGAGAAAAATCATTCTTAATTTGTTTTGTCTTGCCATGAAATGTGAATTTTATTTCACAGTTTCTCCTGTTGATCATCAATCTTTCGATAGAAAGCATTATGTGGTCAAATATTTGGCCCACTGAAGCTAGGGTGGCTGCTTGCCTTTCCCAGTGTGCATCATATCCCTCAGTGCTGGGTGCCAGTAGCCTGGTTCTCTCTGGTCGCTTACACTAGCAAAACATTAAGCAAGGGTTTATGGCCAATTCTAGGTAATCCAATAAGGGACTCAAGTCAGTTTCCTTGCATGTGCATTGCCCATTATTTTATAGGCCACATTAGAGGCGATCTACAGCTTCAAGTTGTTTAGACATCATTATCCTAGTACAAGCAGATGATACCCAGTGTAAAAGGCAAGAAACTACCACCTTATAATTCCACAAACTTTAACTTAAATTGGTATATCATTAGTAAAGATCTAATCCCCAAATCCTCCTGAATCAAACTGTTTTCCTAGTATCACCCCTACTGCAGAAAGAGGAGGATTCAGAGCAGAAATCTCACTTTAAGGGTCATAAGATGAGTTAACAAGTATTGTGGCCCAGACCTTGCTAATTTCTGTTTGTTATTTACTCGTTTTTATAATTCCTTGCTCATTTCATTAAGCACTGGAATAAGAAAAGTCTGTTTTAACTCACTCTTTCCCAATCAACTTTTATAGCAACACAACAATGTAAGGCTTAGTATTGCTACTTTATAGTTCAGAGTTAAGTAACTTTTCCAGCATTATATAGCTAGTAACTAACTAGCATTTCCCTGGTGGCTCAGACAATAAAGAATCCACCTGCAATGTGGGAGACCTGGGTTCAGTCCCTGGGTTGGGAAGATTCCCTGGAGAAGGGAATGGCTACGCACTCCAGTATTCTGGCCTGGAGAATTCCATAAACAGAGGAGCCTGGAAGGCTACAGTCCATGGGATTGCAAAGAGTCAGGCACAACTGAGTGACTTGCACAGGACAGGAACTAACTAGGCTGGAATTAAAACCCCCATCTGTCTGCTCTTTTAAAGAAATAATGGAATATAATAAAATTACAAATTTAAGATAAAGTTACAGATTTAATTTATTATACCTGGGTGCAAATATTTTGGAAAAAAGATATGGATCTAAGTGGATGGTGAAAAAAGTGAGAGAATCAAGATGCCTAAGTTTGATTTCTTTCTATCTCTCAAAGCTGATGATGAATTTGGAAAAGATGATTCAACTTCCTGGGTTTTAGTTTTCTTGTGTGCAATAATAATATGGATGATGATGACAATAATGATGGTAATTTTCTTAGTCTGATGACTATTATTCACTTGTACCAGGCACAATGTGATAAGCTTTATAAGTAGCATGTCATCACATCTCAAAATAACTATCTGATATACATATTCTATTTTATCAATGAAGATATTGCAAATTTCACAAATCCACTAAAGCCCATTTGATTTAAGGGCACATGAGATAAACCATTAGTTCTATTATCTTTCCAAACCAAGAAGTCTGACCTGAATGGTCTTTAAAATATCTACCAAATTTGAGATTCTTGCGAGCTGCGGTAGGTATCAGAGGAAATGAGCATGCTCCTACATGACTCTCAGGTACAACTGGTAGAGTTCTGGACTGGATGGCCTTAAAGTAAATCTTAATATGATGATGTTTTTGCTTTATATGTTCATTTACACATTAAAAAAACACAGAATTTCTCTTAACCCATGAGTACTTAACTCTTCCTCTCCCTTTCCCACATATTTTTCTTTCTTAACAATTCAGTGCAAATGTCCTGAAGTGGAGAGAGGTAATGTGAGCATCCACATGAATGTGGAAGATGAGCGCCGTAGCAGCCCATATGTTAGATACTGAGAGGAGTGAGATAGGCAGGCATGCAGGGCAAAGGGGTCGTGCGGGAGTGGCCCTGTGGAGTGGCAGAGCCCAAGAAAGGTGACAAGGGCACACCCTCAGTGGGCCGGTCTAACAATAAGTATCGGAGTCTGAGAAGCCTGAAGAGGGTCCCGTTGCCAAGAGGGGCTGGTAAAAGTAGAAACCTGCGATCTGGTACTGGAGTCAAGCAAAGGACAGACTGAACCCCCACAACGAAAGCACAGTCCAGTGCAAGGTGTTAGATCCTACACAAGGATGGGAAAGCTACCCACTTTGGAATGTGACCACGCGCACAGTATCAGAGGTCAAGTGTAATGAAAGAGAGCATCTACACAGGAAAGAGACCCTGCACAGGGTCAGAACCTGAGTGAGGTGAGGAGGCAAGAGATAGCTCAACAAGGGGTGTCAGAGCAGGGATGGGAGTAAAACTTGCAGCAGGTATCACAATCTGTACAGAGGAGGAGCTCCATAAAGGGGGGAAATTGGTGACAATAATGGGCGATTGTTACATATAGAGAGATTGAACAAATGCATAAATACATTGAGAATAGTGGAAACCAGGATTCTCATGGCTAGAATAGGAAGTTAAAAATATAGACAAGGAAAAAAAAAATCAAAAACCTAGAACAAACCCACTATGAATCACCACAAACTCTCAATACATACACACGTGCATCTATCTATCTATCTATCTATATGTATATATGTGCATGTGTATGGGCTTCCCTGGTGGCTCAGTGGTAAAGCATCTACCTGTCAATGCAAGAAACATAGGTTTGATCCCTGGGTTGGGAAGATCCCCTGGTTAAGGACATGGCAACCCAAACCTACTCCATTACTCTTGCCTGGGAAATCCCATGGACAGAGGAGCCTGGCAGGCTACAGCCCATGGGGTTGCAAAAGTCTGGCATGACTAAACAACAATTCATGTATGTAAAAGTATACATATACATACTTACATGCATTCATATACATATATTATATAAAACCTACACACACACACCCACACATGCACATATTGAAAGGTTCTCAGAGCAAAAATACCTCAATGAGTACACTTAGTATCCAGATTATGGTTTCTAAATACCATTCTCTAATAAAAAGAATGAAGTTTTCTTAGGAAAAAAAGGCCACTTTGATGACTGGAACAGGAAAATTATAAGATGATTCTGAAACACTTTCTTGTACCAGAAAGTAAGGAAGATAACAAAGAATAACAGGCACATGTCAAAAAGATGAAGAAACCAGCTTGAATAGGCTCCTGCTGGCCAAATCAGTGAAACTTTGGGCATGAAAATAGTCATGAATTGTAAGTTCCTTTATGCAATAATAAATAACTTACTTTATTTAATACAAAAATTCCTTAATGAAATAAGAACCTATGGATTCACAGTGAAAGAGTAGATCATACTGATAGAAATATATAAATAAAAATTAAATTCTCAATAAGGAACAGTACATTTACATCGTCTCAAAGTCCGTAACCACAAAATGCTTACTAATTACAAGGGGAGGGGGAGGTAATTTCATAGTGGGGAGGTCTCACAGGCACTACCTTAACCAGTGATCAAAGTGAACTTCAGCAGAAATGAGACAAACAGAAGTCCTGCACCATCTGATAGGATTCAATCTGAAGCACACAACATTCCTGAATCTAATTATAATTAAACAGTAGACACAGTGGAACACCCTTTGCGGGAAGGGAATGGAGGGACAGGAGGACAAGACAATGTGATCAGTATACTCTGGATGGTGGGGAGTGTTTTCTTTTCATGGTGATAATTTTTAAAAATAAGAGCCAGTTTTTACACTGCTTTAATTATCTTTAAACAAACAAAAAAATCTTTATAGACCCTTTTTATTACCCATATTTTCAGCATACAGCTTCTACAAGGACCCCTATCCTGTTGTCCCTTAGACAAGCCTAAATTGAGTGAAGCCTAACCAAATCAGTGCCTTGTAATTTTAGAAGTTACCAGGTGAGGAAAATCAAGTGAAAACAGAAAGTGTTCAATTAATACCTTCAAGGAGACTAAAAAGAGAAAACAATAAATGAAATCTATGATTCTCTGCTGGATCTTTTTGCTATAAAGAATTTTATCAAGAAAAACAGAGAAAGGGGACTGATAGTTAGATGCTAGCATTGAAACAATGTCAATTCCTTGATTTTGATCATTTTATTGTGTCCTTTATAAAAAATAGAAACTAATTCATTTAGGATAATGTGGCATGTTTGCAAAGCAACTCTTAAATGGTATAGGAAGAAAATTCTTTGAACCATTCTTGAAACTTTCCATATGTCTGAGGTTGTTTCAAGATGAAATATTTTTAAAATTATCTATTTACTTGATGTCTAATACTGTTTGCATTTAAAATAAGGTCAAGTATTTTCCACGTGGTGTAATTTTTCTTTTCTTTTTCCAGGTGATGGTGGCTTGAGCCCTCCTATTTTTACCCAGGAACCAGAAGATGCTATTTTTCCTTTGGATTTGTCAAAATCGGAAATAATTCTGAATTGTGCTGCTAATGGTTACCCGTCACCCCATTATAGGTAAATTCCTACTTCTGAGCACCATGCTGCTTTTTTGTTATTTTCCTTGTCTTCGGGGTAAAGTATACACACAATTTATTGTTGTTGTTGCTTAGTAGCTAAGTTGTGTCCAACTCTTGCGAATCCATGGACTCCTCTGTAGTAGTCCACCCGGCTCCCCTGTCCATAGGATTTACCAGGCAAGGATACTGGAGTGGGTTGCCATTTCCTAATCCGGGGGATCTTTCTGACCCAGGAGTTAAACCCATGTCTCTTGCATTGGTAGGTGGGTTCTTTACCACTGAGCTGCCAGGGAAGCGCACACACACCATCCTGCTGCCAAGTCGCTTCAGTCGTGTCCGACTCTGCGACCCCATAGACGGCAGCCCACCAGGCTCCCCTGTCCCTGGGATTCTCCAGGCAAGAACACTGGAGTGGGTTGCCATTTCCTTCTCCAATGCATGAGAGTGAAAAGTGAAAGTGAAGTCGCTCAGTCGTGTCTGACTCTTAGCGACCCCATGGACCGCAGTCCACCAGGCTCCTCCATACATGGGATTTTCCAGGCAAGAGTACTGGAGTGGGGTGCCGTTGCCTTCTCCATAAACTGACCTAATTTGAAGTGTACAGCTCAATGAATTTTTACACAGGTGTACATCTGTGTTGGAGAAGGGCATAGCAACCCACTCCAGTATTCTTGCCAAGAGAATGTCCATGGACAGAGGAGCCTAGCGGGCTGCAGTCCATGGGGTCGCAAAGAGTCGGACACGACTGAGCGACTCAGCACAGCACATACAGCTGTGTGCCCACCACTCAAATGAAGACAGACATTTTTGGTACCCTAAAGTACCACCTCATGCCACTTGTCAAGTGATAATTATCCCATCCTCATCCTCCAGCAACCGCTCTTATAACTTACTGGTTAGATTTGCTTAGAGCAGTTATTCTTGAGCTTGGTTCTACGCAGTGCCATGTTACACTGAGAACTGAAAACAAATGAAAGATAAAGGAAAGAAGGGAAGGGAGGAAAAAAGAATGAAGGAAGGAGGGAGGGAAGGAAAGAATACAGGAAGAAAGAGAGAAAAAAAATAAGAGAAAGGACAGGAAAATATTTGTTTCCCCAATTTGAAAGAGATTGTAAAGCACAAGTTCATTTTGCACTCCCTTCCCCACAATATGCGGCTACTGCCTCAGTTGCCCCATATACCACGAGTATGAACATGTTTCTCCAAAATGAATTAATCCAGATTGAAACTTTTTTTATCAGGCCAATATCTGTGACTACACTGACACATCCCATCACCCAAAAAGAATTGGTTTTAGAAAAATATGTTGAAGACAGCTATGGACCATCTAAGGCAGAAAAGCAATTTTTCTTCTGGGCAACTAGAAAAATATATATTGTTCCTCACATATTACCTCTGAAATAATAAGGAAGAAAGGTCTGCAGTGTTTCTGTTCTTAGAATATTACAGTACAGGCAGAATCTGATTCACATTGTGGGTGGATTTCACAAATACAAAATATATGCATATATGCATTATACTTGTGTTAATCTTAAAGATATTGTGTTGGTAAGGACTTCATATGCAGTGTGAATATAGAAAAAGTAGAATAATATTAAAATGACTATTGTGGCTTTGGGATTTAAAAGCATTTTTTTTTAAGTCTTAATTTTTAGTGCGTGCATGTGTGCTAAGTCATTTCAGTTGTGTCCAGCTCTTTGTGACCCCATGGACTGTGTAGCCCACCAGGTTCCTCTGTCCATGGGATTCTCCAGGCAAGAATACAGGAGTGGATTGCCATGTCTTCCTCCAGGGGGTCTTCCCGATCCAGGGATTGAACCTACAACTCTTACGTCTCCTGTATTGCAAATCATCACACACAAAAAACAACAAATTCAGTCCATTTTGGTAAAAAACAAACAAACAAAAAAAACACTGGCTTTTCCTGATTTATATGTTCCATTAAAAATATCATATTTATACAAATAATTATTTTGATCTTACAATTATCTAGATTAACTAGCTAAATGACTTAAATATACAAGGTTAAAGACAACTTTCTATCTTGTGTCTCTTACCTCTGTCAAAATAACTTCAGTATTATTTTTTACAACAAAAGAACTGAAAACTATGTCTTATTATTTAGGTTTTATTAAGGCTTTTCTATCTTTAGAATACCTCAACCAATGAAGTCCATCTGGCAGATGAAGATTACTTAGTTTATAAATTGGTCCATCTAGTTCATGGTTGTTGGTTTGTTTTCCTTAAGTAAAAAGCTGTGTTCTTTAACTTAAAACTTGGTTAAATATACAAAAATGTGACTAACATATTCTCGGGATCACCTAATACTTCAAGTTGCAACTTTATTTTTGAGAACTAATTTGATTGTTGCTAAAGATTGCTAGAGGTTATTAGAGAAGGGGAAAAACATATAAGTCCCTATACAATAAGAAACTGTTGTTAAGTAGAGGTAAGACAGATCATCGGTTAGTCATGTACTTATACAAAAATTTCTATTGACTTATAACACATGGAAAAATATAATACAGTAGTTCTCACAACAATTTGCTAACATTACCTGTGAAGAAATATATTGAATGAAGAGATTGCAAATTCCAATGTTGTGAAATGGCTTCTGTTGTAACACTTATAAATAAGGAGGCTAAAGACAGGCAATTAACTTCTTATTTCCATTCCCCTTAACCAGGTTTAGCTTATTTCTCCTATCATGGTATAAAATATTCAAGATGTTTTTAAAAGACAATGAGGAAAGAAAAAAGTTTTTAATGCTTAAATGTCAGACTGAGTCCCAGTTTTCTTGATAATAAAGCAAAGGGCAGAGGTATTTCAGACAATGCACATTAGCAACAAAATGTGAATTTTAGTTTTAATATGGCCCTTTTGAACTTAAAATTTATTTTTAAAAATTCCTCATGACTGTATTCATTTTAGATTGTGTGTCTGAGTGTGTGTGTGTGTGTGTGTGTGTGTGTGTGTGTGTGTGAAATAGATGGACACTCTATGATTTGGAGTTTAACATTGATGTTACTTTGGGTATAGTGTGAAGCCATACTAAAAACCCCTTGGCTTAGAACCAAGAGTTATCATTTCTAGTCACAGCTCTGTCTTTACATATATAACCCTGGAATAATCATGTCTTTCTCCTATCGCTGTATCCCTCATCCACAAAGGGAGGATGTGGTTGATTTTAAGGTGTGTTTTATTCCTTTTAGTAAATTCCCTTTAGAAAATGAAGTCTCATAAGAGAAAATAAGCAATATTGAAAGCAGAACTTTGGAAACAGTTTAAAAGTAACTTGTCTAAAGTCACTTTTAGTTGAAGTCAATACATTGATGGACAGAATATCAGTGAAGACAAGATAAAGATGTTAGGCAAAGTTTTCCAGTGGAAGAGATCACTTTCTATTCTTTTAAAGACTAGGAAACATATGAAAATTAACATCTAACCATGCAGCTTTGTTAAAGGAAGGAAAATGGGTTACCCAAAAATAGTACTTGAGTAGGATTGCTTATACTTAATAAGTTAAGGATATAGTGATGAGCTTAGTTCCAGAGCTCAGAATATATATTTTATTTGGGAAAATGTGAAACACACACATAAATTATTTTTACATAGGATACACTCTGTCAGAAAAAGTTCTTTGAATGTTATAGAGAATTTCCACCACATGTCCTCTGAACCTGGTCACTGGAAAAGCTTCCTTTCTATGATTTAATCTACTCCAGTCACAAAGACATTCTTAAGTTTGGAGAAGCTTTAGGCCTGTGCATAAAAATCACAAAGGGTGTTACTCTGCACTATTATTCTTTTTATTCATTTCCTCCCTTGATCTACTTAACAACTTCCTGTGACAAAGCAGGATATTTTTATTGTGCAAATTTTATAGTTGATGGATATGACTTTTGGAGAAATGACCTGGCTAAGCATACACAACAAAGGAATATCAAATCTAGGTCTAGGACTCTTTCTATGAAGTCAGTGGAACTAAATTTAGTGCACGTTACAATCACCCAGAGAGATGTTAAAAGTTTCGATTTTGGACTTCTTTATAAGTCTAGGAATGGGTCCAGAAACAGCACTCCATGTAGCTCTAAAGCAAGGCTCAGTTTTGAAAAAACACTCTCTCACACACACATACATTATCACAGACTAGCAAACAACTGTAGCCCCAGCCATTATATTCTTGACACAGGGCTTAACTATTTAATAGTAAAGGATGTTCCCCAGAAAAAGTTCAAGATTTTAGTTCAAATCCATTATGTTTCATGGAATTAATATGGTATTAAGGCAGATGCTTAAAATAATCTTCTATAGCATGTTTCCTAGTTTGCATCGTGAGATAATTCTCCTGGGCATGGAATTCTATCAGTAACACTTGTATGACAATCACTTGAATTCATTAATACTATTTCTCAATTTATTTGAACATATTAATTAGAACAAAGCCCACACCATGAGTTGAACCCCTGATCTATATGCACAGTTTAATAATCATTGTACCATAGTGATTAGAATGATTATGGGGAGAGTGTGAAAAATTCATTTGCTGCAGCTAAGCCAACAACTTTGAATTTGTGTTGAAAAACAATTACTGAGCTTAATTAGGAGCATGTAATGATGACAGCAGTTATTTTAGTGATTGATTTCAAAATTAAAGAGAGCTGGCAAACTAAATGCGGTATATCCTTTGCATTGAAAAAGCAAGGGAACACAAAGTTTCAAAGACCATGGCCTGTAAACAAATTATGAAAGACAGTATTATAGCACTGGCAAGGAGAATATTCAAGGCTTCAGATAGGCCTAAAAAAATAATAGTTTTCTCCATTTTCTTCTTCTAATATTGAGAACTAGAAGCCGAATAAATTTCTCGAGGAAAAAAAATTGGCAGATAGTTCAGGCAAATGAAATGTACTGTTTTGGACTGTTTTCTTTCAGCTTCCTTTTATTAAAAAGAAGTTGAGGGGCTTAAGAACTGGCTAAGTTAATTTAAAAGTGACAGAGTTGGTTCAAGTCCTCTGGATGATTTGATATCCATCATTTCTCATCTTTAACAGGGTGGAAATTTCTCTTCTACTGTTGTAGATATTTGCCAGACTTTTTCCATGGGATGTTTCAGAATCCTAAAAAAGTCAATGACATTTCAAATAATTCTATAAAATGTCATTCCTTTCTTACAATTAGCTACCCGCACAAAACTATTTTTAATATGACCTTAGCATGAAGGGAAGAATCTGCAGAGCTCGCATAAACCCTAAAAAAACAATATTTACAAACTGTCTTTATTTCACAGGAAGAGGCCATTCACTTGTTTTTCTGACTGATTATCTTAACTCAATATTTTAAAATATATCTCTTTTCTTAAATGGTTTATATTACTACTCAAAGCCAGTGCCCTAGAAATGTACATGTTTGAATATGTAATATTCTTATTTCAAAACGTCTATTTTGTTGGAAGTAATGGGTTGCAAGCTGGGGAAAGTGGGTCCATTAAAGATAACAAATGGGTATTCATTCATTTTAAAATGATAAAATGTAATTTCTAAATCATCTAATACTTCTTTGAAAATAAATATAACTGTTAGGATTTTCTGATACTTAATTAATAATCTAAAAGATTGTTGACTACTAGGTAAGCCGAGCAATTTTTACAGCCTAAAATGAAAACTTCTCAATCTGCATTTGTTTTGTTAAAGTATAATTTTAGTTTGGCATTTCTAAGTACTGTTGAAATATTTTCAGCATGATTAATTTTCCAAGTAAGAAACTATCAGAGACAATCATGTTCTAAAGTAGGTTATTTTTGTTTTGTTATCAACCTCAAATTGGCATTGTAAAATCTTTGCTGGCTTTCTTTGTGCCATTCTAATATATTCTTCTTGGACTTCATGTCTAAATCATTTTTGACATTCAATTTTGCAGTATCAGTTGTGGGTGTTCAGGTATGGTATATATTATTTCAAAAGTTGTTAAAGGAATAGGATGGCCAGGGTTATTGACTGAATGTCTACTTTTTATTTCTTATGTCAAGAGTTCTGTTGCCTTCCTGTACAGGTTTTGGTGAAAGTTTGTAATTTGTCAAGGGTATTAGTTTTTTCAAATAATCTAGTTATTGATATTATGGAGCTCACGAAGACAATTATCTTCAGTGAAACTGGTAGGATGAGTCCACATGTAACCATGTTTTGTTTTATTTTAACTGTCTCAGGAACTGCAAATGTATGTTGTTTAAACCAACAGTGGTCAACTCTGCTTATTGGAGGCATAATTTGATTTTTTTTTTCTTTGAAGGTGGAAGCAAAATGGCGCAGATATTGATTTTACCATGAGCTATCACTACAGGTTGGATGGAGGCAGTTTGGCAATCAGCAGCCCTCGCACAGATCAAGATATTGGCACGTACCAGTGCCTGGCCACCAATTCTCTGGGAACAATTCTGAGTCAGAAGGCAAAGCTCCAATTTGCATGTAAGTTTGTGGGAAAAATCTATAATCTTTGTGTTTCTGAAAATATATTCTTATTATAACCATAGTAGAAAAAAGCCAACTTTGCCAATCACAGGCTCTTTGAGAGCAAATATGAATTTATAGAGGTAAAAAGTTTTATAGAGGTAAAAAGTGTGCATTTTGTGAATTCAGACTCCTGGGAATAGTTGAATCTGTTTCAAAAAAAAAAGCAGGAAATATCAATATTATTGTAGTTTGTGAATTATATTTAGAAATATCTCTGAAAGTTCTAGATATACATATTCAGATAAAGATTTTATATATATATATATCCCTTTTCCTTCTTCTTTTGCATTGGGCAAAATGAATGTGAAGGGCACAAGAATAAAAGAAAGCAAAGATTTTTTGGGGGGGAGGCAAGCATTCTCCCAGGAAAAGTGATCATGCATCTACAGTTTGATGCAGGTGGAAATAAAGTGGTTGCCAAAGGCAGACTTTATATTAACTGTAACAATGTCCAACTGCGTCACATAAATGTCATCCAAATAATTACCTTGGTGACATTTGGGGACATTAGCAGATGAACAATAGACATACTGCTCCTTATAGTGTTTCCAGGGACTGAAATGTTTCATATTGGATCCAGGGAAAGCCTTGTTTGAAAGTAATTACATTTGTTGATGTGGATGAAGCAGAAGCCTTACATCTTTCCCTTTATACCCCCTCTGCCATGCGACTCCCACTCACGCCCTCCTCAGAGGATGTACCAAGGGCCAAAGAGTGAGAAGCTACTCTTTGGGACCCTGATGAATAGGTCTATGCTTCTGTTATTTTGAAAAAGTAACTATTTTGAAATTTACAGAATAAAATACACATACAAAGCCCACCTTGTAGAGCTGTTGCATGAAGGAGGACCCCTTCCAGGGCCCGAAACTGGGCTCTTGTCTAACACTCGGAAATGAATTGCCCGAGGAGACACATGTGCTGGCAAAGCAAGAGATTTCACTGGGAAAGGGCACCCGTGTGGAGAGCAGGAGGGTAAGGGAACCCAGGAGACCTGCTCTGCCACATGGCTTGTAGTCTCGGGTTTTATGGTGATGGAATTAGTTTCCAGGTTGTCTTTAGCCAATCATTCTAACTCAAGAGTCCTTCCTGGTGGTGCACACCTTGTTCAGCCAAGATGGATGCCAGAGAGAAGGATTCTGGGAGGTGGTCGGACATGTGGTGTCTCATTTTGACCTTTCCCGAACTCTTCCAGTTGGTGGAGGCTTATTAGTTCCGTGTTGCTTACCAGGACTTCCTGTCATAAAACAACTCATGCAAATGGTTACTATGGTGTCTGGCCAGGGTGGGCGGTTTCAATCAGTGTGCTTCCCCTAACAGAACTACTTTAGTCATCAGTAGATATATAAATCTGGAGTAAGAAATGGCAACCCATTCCAGTATTCTTTCCTAGGAGAGCCCATGGACAAGGAGTCTAGCAGTCTACACCCCATGGTGTCACAAGAGTCAGACGCAACTTAGCAACTAAGCTAGCACCACCGCCGCCAGATATATAAATTAGTAATTAGGTCTGTTTCTCATTGCAAGTCTGTGTTCCAAAGATACCGTGCTCCACACAAAGCTCCCCTATGTTAACCATTCTGCGAATGGCCTTGTTTCTGAATATGTATATAAATACACTCAGAAATAAACACGTATGTATATAAGTATGTGTATATATGTGTCTGTGATTATAAATATACACACATGTACATATATGTATGTGGTCCTCTATATACACACATACACACATGTATACATATACAGAAGCATTGCTAAGTATATCTGAATGTATTTATCTTCAGAAAACAAAGGATAATGCAAAATTTTACAGGGCTAAGTGGAATATAAACAAATGCTGGTGGCTGTTCCCAACCTAGGGATCGAACTCAGGTCTCCCTGCATTGCAGGTGGATTCTTTACTGTCTGAACCACCAGGGAAGCCCCATTTGAAACTTAGGGTAAAGATAATCACAATACTTGATTTCTACATTTCAGCTAAGACCATCATTTGGAAAAACAATAGCGAGCAAAATATTAATGAAGACTTATTTTACAGAAGTAAACAGTTGCTCCACAGACTTTGAATGACTCTGCCAAAATAATATTTTTTTTTCACTTGAATAGAAGATGATCCTTGGAGATATACATGGTCAGACTGCATAAAAATAAATTTAACAAATTGGATTTTCTGTAAATAACATCCCATAGAGTATATTTATTTGCTAAACTGTGTATTTCTCCAGAGTTATGGATTCTATCCTTTCTTGAAAATAACTGAATACCTATGAAGAAAGTTAATGCACTGTGCTTGATATGGCCATGTATTTGCTTCTCTTTGTTCCCCTTTTTAAATGAAAAATTTGTATTTTTAATTTCCAAATTTTTTTTTTACTTTTTTTCTACTTTAAAAATGTGTAACTAAAAGTTTTTGTAAGTTAAAACATAAATTCTATTTGATAAAAAAAGAAAAAGAAAAATATTTAAAATTAAGAAAAAAAAATGTATGCTTTCATTTGGATGAATGAGGAAAGTCAGTTCTTCTATCCTTGCTGACTTTCCTGTCTCTTCATAAAGTTTTCTTTTTTGGGAGTTGAAAATATATGACTGTTGTTCCCTAAAAGCATTTCTATTACTATTCATGCAGAAAGAAGGTCTACATCCATTAGCTGATATTTCTCCTGCAGACTTAAAGAGTCTTAGGTTCCAAGCCTTAAAGTTGAAAAAACAAAAAACAAACAAACAAGAAAGAATCAGATCATTATGCTTTTTTTGTCCAGTAACTATAACAGTGTCTTGCCTGAAATGTTTCCTGTTGTTTCCATGGAGAGATTTGGTTGAGTTTATCTCTGCTGACTTGAATCAACCCTAAAAATAACCAACACTTTTTAATCACCTATAAAGTATCTCCTTTTCTTTCCTAGATCTCATAAGTACTCTTGCCAGCTTACTTAAGTCAGTTGTTCATTCCAAGTAGTAAAGAATTTATTTTAAAAATGTGAAAAATACCACTTCTAGCTTTGTCACTGCTATTACACAACTCTGAATGGTCTATTTTGAACAAATGTGCATAAAGATCTTAAAAATGAATCAAAAGGTGTTAATAACTTACAGCCCAGAAGACTCCATTTACAAATTCTTTCTTCTAATCTCATTTAAGGTACACAGGATATTAGTTTTGCAAAATAGATTTTCTGAAATTTCACCCAAAGAGATTACATTTACATCCACATTGAAATCTGCACATAACCTTAGAAATAAGGTTACTTTTCAAAAAAGAGAGTAGGGGAGAGAGAGAGAGAGACAGAGACAATGAAGATACAGAGAAAGGAGTGGCAGAAAGCAGAAGAGAGAACAAAATAGAAGGGAACTATCCAATCAAAAATTTGTTTTTCTGTGAAAACATCTTAAACATCACTAATCAGTATGTAAATATAAATCAAAACCAGAAAACACAGCTTCATACTCATTACAGTGGCTTTACCAAAAAAAAGCTAACAAATAAACAACAACAACAAAAATATCCACAGAGAATAACAAGTGTTGGCAAAGGTGTTAAAAAATTGAAACCCTTCTGCATTACTGATGGGTATGTAAAATCGTATAGCTACTATGGAAGACAGCATGACATTTCCTTAAAAAATTAAACATAGACTTATCACAACACAGTAATACCACCTCTAGCCATACCTTCAACTTAGTCTGAGTTGTCATCACCATCTTCATAAATTTTCAACATTGCCTATTTTACTAGAAAGGCTTTTGTACCTTTCTTAACATCGTAACAATGGTGGTCACATGCTAAAATTTTTGATACAAACAGACCTGAGTTCAAATTCTATCTCTGTAAAATATCCTGCAGCAGGAAATTAGGCCATCTTTTAACAATATCAGTGGAAACAGTGTCACGCTTTATTTTTTGGGGCTCCAAAATCACTGCAGATGGTGACTGCAGCCATAAAATTAAAAGACACTTACTCCTTGGAAGGAAAGTTATGACCAACCTAGATAGCATATTAAAAAGCAGAGACATTACTTTGCCAACAAAGGTTCGTGTAGTCAAGGCTATGGTTTTTCCAGTGGTCATGTATGGATGTGAGAGTTGGACTGTGAAGAAAGCTGAGCACCGAAAAACTGATGCTTTTGAACTGTGATGTTGGAGAATAATCTTGAGAGTCCCTTGGACAGCAAGGAGATCTAACCAGCCCATCCTAAAGGAGATCAGTCCTGGGTGTTCATTGGAAGGACTGATGTTGAAGCTGAAACTCCAATACTTTGGGCACCTCGTGCAAAGAGCTGACTCATTGGAAAAGACCCTGATGCTGGGAGGGATTGGGGGCAGGAGGAGAAGGGGATGACAGAGGATGAGATGGCTGGATGGCATCACCGGCTCGATGGACATGAGTTTGAGTAAACTCCGGGAGTTGGTGATGGACAGGGAGGCCTAGCTTGCTGCAACTCATGGGGTCGCAAAGAGTGGGACACAACTGAGCGACTGAACTGAACTGAACTGAACTGAAGCCTGTTTATGACATGTATACAGTGAGAACTGCAGCAGTATCCAATGGACAGTGATGGGGATTAACTGAGTAATGATGTGAAACCCCTGGTCCCTTATAGGCACTCAGGAAATGGTAACTCTAATTCTTCTTTTGATATTTTCATTTCCTCTCCCAAATAGGCCAAACATCCATATATTTCAAACTGCTACAGTTACTCATAGAAAAATCTAGTTTACATTTCAAAACTTCCTCCAGACCAGTTGTTCTCTTGTTTTCAAAGCTTTTAAGTGTTTGACATATATTACCTTTCTTGAACTGTGGAATAACCATAAAAGGATGATTCTCATTCCCATTTTATAGATTAGAAGCCTGAGGCTCACTGAGATTGGGACTTTTTAGGAAGTATATTGTTAGAGAATCAATTGTAACTTTAGTAAAAAAGTTCAGATTCTACAGCAGAAACCAATACAACATTGT